TTATTCTGCTCTTCAATTCTAACAGCATGCTGCAGGGTGTGGTTACCAGCACTTTACCCAGTGCTGCATCCAAAAGGCTCATCAGAAATTGTCACATTTATCCAAAGGTTTTCTCACCTGAACAGATGACACCAGCGTCCTCACTGTGTGCACAGTTGTGTGTCCCAAATCCTCTGTGCTGACACACAGTTAGAGACCTTTCAGTTCCTGAACAGCCAACATCATCAAGCCAGATGTTGCCGGTTCCTTGACCAAAGTGGGCCGACTGAGGAGCACTCAGTGCCGTACCACAGTGCAACTGTCTGCACACTACCTCAGCGTCCTTTAGGTCCCACTCGTCATCACATACTGTTCCCCAGGCACTGTTGTAATAGATTTCAACTCTTCCAGAGCAACGAGTAGACCCAGACCCAACTAATCTGATCTGAGCATCTATCAGAAACACAAGACACAACATAACAAATAACTGTTAAGTTATTTACAAAGAACATCAACTGAAAACTGTAAAGATTTTATGCATCACACCGTAGAACTGACTGACCTGCAGCAGGTGAAGTTGAGGTCAAGAGAAAAGAGACTATAGAGAGAAGAGAACACAGAGTATGGCTCATTACATTCAGCAAGCTGAAAAGTGCAGAAATAAAACTTTGCCTTGTTGTGTTTTGGATTCTCTTGATAATTCAAATAAAATGAAGGAGCTTTAAACTGAAAAATTAGTCTTATGAGACTCCATGTTTATACCATACAATAATACTGCTGTAGGCTACCATACAAAACAAAGCAACTTTTGGAATAAGTCTTACCAATGGCGAAGTGGCAAAGGTTTCTCTGTTGTATGATCCCCATGGCTGACACTAAAGGCTGCTCTGTACCATTTATCAGTGACAGAACAGACCACAGAAAACTGAAGTTAAAACCGCGATGCACAAAAAAGCTCCACACTGCTCAGTCCTTCCTGGAAAGCTTCCTCTTTATTTTCCGCCATTTCTTTCAGCTAAGGCCAGAGTACTAAAACAGATGGAAACCATATAATGCAAAGTAGCCTATAAGTACCAAAGCAACATATCTATACCCTATTCTGCCTCTTACAATGTTTGGTGATCAAAAGAACAACAGAGTTCAACAGAGGGGTGTACCACGAAGCCAGATAAGTGGGCTTGCAAGGTATGTTGAACCTAAAGTCAGAGTTTTGAATTACACGAAGGTGACTCTCTTTTACCTGGCTAGATCACCTTTGTAACTTGTGCTGCACACCTAACCTGCTAAGTCCTGTTCAAGGCTTCTGATTAAAGTCGGCTATAAAAAGCGCCTTTCCGACAGGAACCTCGACATACATACATGCACGCTGGCTCTAAAAGAAACCCTCTATAAAAATACAGGCAGCATACATTAATGTAGTATTACACAGTAAAATAGTAGTAATAGTTCACTATATTATTAATCAGTCTGACGTTTGCGTTTGAGACACACTGGTATTGAACTATCTGTGGGAAAAATCATCATGTAAGAGTCCGACCATTTCCGAGCACGTCCATAACTCACACATTGTTGGTTCTCCCTCCCCTGTGTATGAATATTGCACTCGAGTCGAGGGTGATATATGATATGATAGATGAATACACATATGTGATTTGCCGAGTAGCATCACGTGAAATGGTTTACAGCACATATAATTGGTTGGCGTGCTTCCTGGACTGCTGAACGAGTGCCGTAAAGGCTAGAAAAGCTGGCTGGTTAAAATAGAAGCACTCCGTGAAAAGGTAATAATTCTCAATTATCTATCAGTTATAGGTCCAGGTCTAGAGACAACGGCGTCTGGGTCCGGATTCGGACCGCAGTCCACCTATTAGTGACCCCTGTAATATAATAATAATGATGTTGGAGCACTTTATTGTTTCAGCTGGTAAAGGTGGAGCTAATTGTTATTGCTGGGCTTGTGGATCAATTAAGTCCTATCTTATCAACTTATGATAATACCTTCAATTCATTTGAATCTGCAAAGTAACTACTAACTAAGTTAAACACATAAATGTAATTGAGTAAAAAAGTGCAATAATTCCATCTTCAATATAGTGGAGTATAAGCACAATATAAAGTACCTCAAAATTGTACTTAAGTACGCCACTAAAATGTACTTGCTACCTGCAAGATATAATACAAATAGCCATCAAGTGCACATTTAAGATCCCTTTAAAGAACCTTTCAACCAACAACTAAGCATTACTTTATAATCCACCTGGCTACAGCTGACTCATTTCAATTCAGCCAACAAAGTCGATGGTCGCCAGCTAGAAATAAGAAGCCTGCCTTCGTCTACTTCTGTCTCAAATCAATAACTCGCAGTTTTGAAAGTGTGACGACCCCTCCCTTCCACCAGGGGTCTGTGTTAGTTGTACTTTCAATAAATATCTATTTATTACTTTTATACTGGTCTTGTCTCCCTAATGTTGCCCGGTCAAGCTTCACCGCACCCAGGTAAAGACATTTTTTGGTCTGACCTCATACTATGGTCGCTTCATCCCAAACTTCTCTGGTGTAGCATCTCCCCTCACAGACTGGACCAGAGCCTCACAGCCACTCAGGGTTAAGTGGACAGAAGAAGCTGAACAGGCCTTTCAGGCCCTAAAGAGGGCCCTCAGTTCACAGCCAGTATTGTTGACCCCAGACTTCAGCCGGGAGATGATTGTTCAGACGGATGCATCAAAGGTGGGCATAGGGGCAGTACTCTCCCAGGAAGTTCAGAGTGAGGAGCATCCCATTATCTATATCAGCCGGAAGCTCAATACAAGGGAACAAGGATATGCCACTGTGGAAAAGAAAGCTCTCGCCATAAAATGGGCACTAGAGCGCCTTTGTTATTACCTCTGGGGACGCCACTTCACTCTGGTGACCGACCATGCTCCCCTGGTCTGGATGGCCAATAAAAGACGCCAATGCAAAGGTAGGGAGATGGTTCCTAGAGTTTAACTTCTCTATCGTTCACAGATCGGGAGCAGGGGGAACATGCGACGAGAGGAGAAGAGTGGCGTCTCCTCTTGATGAAGAAGATTTAGCCCGGTAAGTCGGCTAGCGGCCCGGCTGATATAGTTTCGTTTGTGTAGTTAATTGATAGAGCTCTGGACTGAGCTACGTTTTCTGTTTTGTGTTTGTTGAAGTTTGTTTAATTAAAAACCTGCAGAACTGACTCTGCCTGTGATTGCTGGCCTGCCACTAATTTCTGTGTTCTCTGTACCATGCTGTTACAACATGTACATGCTTTTCACATACAATTTTTTTTTTTTTTTGTTTTTGAAAGACCTGCACAAACTGCTACTCACAAGTTAATAACTTTAGTAAATTCTAGCTATGACAGCCATATGGAATAGTGTGAAGTGCTGTATGTGATGTTAAACACTATGGAATTTGTTTTTCTTGTAGGGTTGCCTCTTTTGCTCTGACCAACTGGTACTTATTCTACATGTACGTTTGGTTTTTAAATGCATTTTCATAACAGCTTAAGGGTATTTGGAGGCTTAGTATAGAGACAGAGAGGTAGTGCTGCTGTGTGGTTTGCTGCTCTCTCACACAGCTTGTGAGTATACCATACATAGAACAAAATTAAGAGGAATTCATGGGTTGGCATTTCACAGAACAACCGCTGCATTTTTAAGTTACACCTAGACCACTTGTTCCTTCTCTCCTACAGCTGGTTTAATGTCAGCTTGAAATTCTCTTTTTGAACAATTAAAGGCTCTTGACTTTATGTGGCACTTAAAGTTTTTTGGGCAAAAAGCCAAGAGCGTGAGTTTCGGTATTTGACGTTACAAAACAGACAAAGGCAATCGGAGAACCACAAGTAAAAGAGTGAAACAAAAAGTCCATAAGCTGCCAAAATCCCAAAATGAGTAACAAAGTCTAGAAATGAGCAATATGACAGGATGGGGTACACAGGAAGAAGTAGTAGTACAGTGGCAAGAGGGATACAGCTACGAAACATTGCAGACAACCAACAGGCTAAAGACAGGACCAAAAATACCAAGTAACTAATCAGACAAGACCCAAGTGGACAGCACTGTATGCTGGGAACACTTTTTAAAAATGTGTCTTGATATGTTAGCATCTGATTGAAGCCCCACAGCATGTATAATGTGGAGTCTATTTTGACTTCTAAAAGCCTGATCCAGTTTACTTCTCTCCGATCTGCATATCTGCTGCATTATCCAGCACCAGCCACTAGAGGCCCTCACAGCACACGTTTTTTTAGTGAAAGAGCAAGTCCACTCTACCACACCTCCAATAACAGGATGTTTTTCTTAAGGTACAGTGCATGAACCCCATATTTTATATGATGTCAAGTATTCTTTCTTGGATTTCTTGTATTCCAGTTTAATTCCTGTCTGTTTCAAACAAGCTGGGAATGTAAAAAGATGTATACTCTTGCAAAAAGGGGACAAAATGAAACATGAAAGGTTTCCTAATATAACCGAGGCTTTCATACAGAGACTCGTATGCGCCCACAGAGCGATGCTGACAGTTCAGTGAGCCGCGTAGCGTGAGAAGGCTGAGGAAGTGACTGGTGTGAGAACGCTGCCACCGCAGCCCCGTGGCAGCTCAGCCTGAAGCCTGCGGTAGTCTCGATCCGACCTGCCGCCCTCTGAAACCCTCCTCAACCTGCTTTCAACTTCCACTGCTCTGTCACCACGCCGAGACATTCACTGAGCCCTCAGCTTCTCCATTTCTACAGGAATTATGCAATGTGTGCACAAATGACAGAAAGACTTTTCTCTCTCGCCCTTTTTTTCTTTTTTTTGTTCTATCCTTCAAATAAATGAATCCTTCAATTTATTATCCCTCAAGAATCAAGCAGAACTTTTTTTGTTTTCTTTTTTTCTATGTAACATTTCTACACATTTCTCGTTTTGTCAAATAAGAACAAAACTACCATGACCCCAATCATATTTTTGCTGTTTTGATAAGAATAAATAAGTTTAAAGATGAATATAGCAGCAAACAACTATTAGCTATGTAAAGATATAGTGGAGTGTCTACCTGAGCAGAGAATGAGGTCACTTTCAGCTTTTCCATTCTTTGTCGAGATAGCCACATGCTTTTAGTGCATGTTGATGCACGTGAGCGTGCCCTACTGCCTAGCTCACTCTGCGCTGCTCTCATACACCGGTTACAGCTGATAACGCAAACGGCAGCGTCACTAGCTCCCACTCTTCGGTTTACACCCAGGTAAACACTTTTAGCTCTGTCAGCCCTTTTGCTGCTGTTTGCACTGTTAGCACCGTTAGCTGTGAGCCGCGGGCCCCTCCCTCACCCAGAGACAATCGAAATGCTCTGTCTCGTTTAAAAACCTTCAGGGTTAAATGAGCTTTTTTTTTGCCGTTGTTATGCTTAATTCAACATGTAGAAAAACATGATCTGGTTGAGTCCTGTTGGTCTACAAATGTTGAAGAAAAATTCCACCAACGTCCATGTTTGTTCAAATAAATACAAATTTCCCAAGAGAACAGGCTGCTCACTCAATATGAACATCAACACAGTGATACCAGGATATACATCATGAATATGCAGCTCTTTGTCAGCTGTTTCTGTGTTCACCATTATTATTCTTGGTTGTTTGAAAAGGGTGGCGGACCGTGTATTTTTTGGCACTGGGAGATTCATCCTGGAGAGCATCCCGCCTGAACTGTAAATGCACTAGTGGTGTGTAAGGGAGCGTAATGCTCATTGACCGATATCCTCGTCCGCTGCTGGAGCTCTAAAACACACGGACACACAAACGCGCTCTCGTACTGCAAGTTCGGGGATGCGATGTAAAAAATATATGTTATGTGGAGTTTTTGGCCACGTGGTCCTGCATTTGAAATAAAA